ATTAGCAAAACCCTCCTGACCTTCATAATTCTTTTGCTCTAACGATAAATCACCATCTTCCCCACAACCTTCATTTTCGCACTATTTGCAAAAATTTTCAGGTCTCATTTAACTCTCTGTCCTGACACTCTCTAAATTTAATTTTTGGTCTCATGCCTCTTCACTTAGAAATACTTGGTTCGTTGTGTCCTTTACTCAATGAGGAGCTTCTCTTCCCAGTGACTGTTGGAGTCAATTAAAATTCTGTACATAGGGGAGAAGTCAACTCGAACATTTGTCTTTGTGAGATGATGTAGCACACAAGTCCCTGAATGGTCTGTGCTACACAGACCACAGCGGGGAGTGCGTCGTTGGTGCTCATAATGGAGTAACTAATGGAATAACAGATGTCAGCTGTGGCCTTCCAGTAGGCAGCTGCATTTGTGGAAACTTTCTACATCACAATCTTGTACTCGTTAATGTGAGTACTCCTAGAAGACATGTTTGAAGCTTTTCTGGTTATAAGAAAGATATCCTATATACTGTTAAAAAGTCTTTAGATTTTTTTTGGGTGACAAACAGCAAGCAGGCAGTTAATTTGCAGGTAAAATATTGGCACATGAAATACAAAGAAAAGTCCTCCTTTCAGACGGCACCATTATGGCATAAGGCTGCTTGTGGGTAAGACAAAATAAGCTTAACACTTGATTTAGCACTTAAAATGGAAAACTGATTTTATAAGCTGGTTGCTGCAGACTGTGAAAATAATGGAAAATCATGGATGGGGAAGTTCAATGAAGTGACACCCTGATTATCTGGAAATAATGTTGGGGTGTCTTATTAACAAAGAAAACTGTCATTAGGGGTTAATTTGTAAAAAGGTCATTTAGAAGAGGTCACTAAAAATCACGTGGGGGCATCTAAAATATAAGAGCGCATGAGAATTTCTTATAACATTCTTATCAGAAATAGGCTAAAATTAATCATTTTTCCACTTCACTTATAAAATACCTTTGTTAAGATCTGAATGGCGGTAAAAATATTGTTGTTGGTTTGGAAAACAGAAATGGGTTATTATTTTTTCTGACCTCTGGATATTTTTTAAGTTTCTAGGATTAGTAAATTAAAGTATTAAAAAAGAGAAAACTCAGATCTTTCTTTTTTTTCTTTCTTTCTTTTTTTTTTTTTTTTAGACGGAGTGTTGTTCTTCTTACCCAGGCTGGAGTGCAATGGCTCGATCTCGGCTCACCGCAACCTCCGCCTCCTGGGTTCAGACAATTCTCCTGCCTCAGCCTCCTGAGTAGCTGGGATTACAGGCACGCGCCACCATGCCCAGCTGATTTTTTATATTTTTAGTAGAGACGGGGTTTCACCATGTTGACCAGGATGGTCTCGATCTCTTGACCTCGTGATCCACCCGCCTCCGCCTCCCAAAGTGCTGGGATTACAGGCTTGAGCCACCGCGCCCGGCCCCAGATCTTTCTTAATATGAAGGACTGAGCTCCCAAGTCCGTCATTATCTATATATTTTGATATTTTTGGTACCTGACATGAAAGGACATCACACCTTAATTGTATTACAGTACCTTCACTTATATTTCCCAGTTGTTAGGACACAACTATTAAAGAAAATTGCTTGAAAGACCAATTGAATATCTTTTGATAGTGAGTTTCACAAATTTTCCATAAGCAAAATTGCACTGTGAGCAAAAACCCTGGCAGAGGTGTTTGGTCATCAGCTGCTGAATAAAATGGGCAAATGGCCTGAAAAAACCTTCAGACATCTGGTAGAGTAATTCTTACTTTTTTTTTTTTTTTTCTAGAGTCCCCAGGTCAAGAAAACTGGATAAAAAGAGGTCTAAATGTGAGCAAGGGCTGTCACGTTTGGCTTCAAGTATGTAAGTCCAATCTAGTAACCAACCCTTTCCCATTCATTGTTAGCATATTCACTGGGAAGCAGCATGGGCCAGGAACTAAGAGGAACAACCAGCTGTGTGACTTAGGCAAATTACTTAACTTCTCTGTGCTTCAGTGTTCTCATCTGTAAAATGAAATAAATGAAATGAAAAATATATAATGAAGTGTATAATATATAATTTAAAATATATTAATGAAAAATATGTAGTGAAAATACATAATATATAATGAAACATAAATGAAAAATATATAATGAAAATATACAAATGAAAAATGTAATATAAATGAAAAAGTGTTCATTAAAAGAAAATAAATTATGGACCAAATGTTTTTGAAAAACTATACCTTAAAAACCTCTATTTTGTTTAGAATGTATATGTCTGGTTCAAAATGCTCACACGAGATACCCAAGAAACAGGCTTCTTTCAAGTATTAATTTCATACTTCAAGACTAAAACATATTTATAATTCGACCCTCTTATATAGACACTTATTCATATCCTCATGTTTACAAAATACAGCTATTCAGAGGTACTTTGTTTTCAAAATTTCATGTTTTTGTTTAAAACGTCTGACCATATACCTTTCATTTGAAGATTAAGGTAGATTTTAAAATTCAACTTACTTTCCAATTCTGTCCTTTGCATTTAAGACCAAAAAGCAGGGCTGTGGCCGTTAAAGTAGTTCTTTCAACATAGCTATGTCAACTAAATGAAAAGAGCCATGTCAGCAAGTGGCAGTGTTAATTACCAGCTTGTTCAGCTACCACTGCTTTGCTTGACAGTTTTACTGTCTATAAAAATAAAGTGTTCAGATGTGGTGTGACATGGCTCTTCTGGCAACAGGGAAGCAAATGCGGAGGTGAGGGAGGGGCCGGTAGGGTCATGCCACAGTCTTCTGTGGGATTTTAATATATTCGCAGGAAAAGAGCAGGAGCTGGTAGGGGCAACTGGGATGGACAGAGGAGCTGCTGAAGACTCTCTGGGATGACAGGAAAGAATACAAATTCCAGACCTTCTTTCACCTCCTATTTGTGTATTTCCACCTACAGAATCAACTACCCAGATAACTATAGAAATTCACACATGATAAAAATGCAATATAAAATCTCTACTTACACTGAAGAACTTACTCATGTAACCAAATACCACCTGTACGTCAATAACTTATGGGAAAAGAAAGTCTCTAGTTGGCCAGGAGTGGTGGCTTACATCTGTAATCCTAGCACTTTGGGAGGCCCAGGCCAGTGGATCACAAGGTCAGAAGTTTGAGACCAGCCTAGTCAGCAGGGTGAAACCCCACCTCTACTAAAAATACAAAAATTAGCCAGGCCTGGTGGCACGTGCCTGTAACCCCAGCTACTCGGGAGTCTGAGGCAGGAGAATCATTTGAACCCGGGAGGCAGAGGTTGCAGTGAGCCGAGATCACACCACTGCATTCCAGCCTGGATGACAGAGTGAGACTCTGTCTCAAAAAAAAAACAAGAAAAAGAAAAAAAGTTTTCTACTTAAGCATAATAGACTATAAAACAAGTAGTTTAGCCATTTCCTTTTTTTTTTTTCTTTTTTTAATTTGAGGAAATAAAGCTTTAAGTTCTGTCAAGGTAGTCTGACCCACACTGGTCATGGTAGTAGCCCTGCTGGCTCAGTGACCATTGGTTGAAATAATTAGCGAATTTGGTGAATTTTCTAATTATGCTCTTCTAGGAGTGGAACTGCTGGAACTAGCAGGTGTCTAAAAGTCAGGCGATTGCTTAACTGTGGGACTGTATTGCTTTTAAGATTGTGTGAATTTTTAAAATGAGTAAAAGCAACAGATGTGTCCCAGACTCTCTCGCTTTCACTTTCAAATTATCGTCACTTCAGAGAATTCCACCCTGGCTAGTACTGAAACAGAAACTGCATAATGCCAGGCATTAAAAAAACAAACAAACAAAGCAAATGCTTTATATTTGTACATATTTCTTAAACCAAATTTCATAGAGCAAGAGAAAAAGCTAAAGACCAACGTTCATATCAGGAGTGTCAGCCTTCGATGGTCTGACGACTTTTAATTATCTCCCTTTCATCATTTCTCCCACACCCTCTCAACCATCCCTTCTTCCTTCCTACTTTATTGGAGACACAGGATCAAACATAAAGTCCTTGCTCTCATGGAGCACACATCCGAGTGCTAGGAGAAAGACAATAAAGATGCAAACAAATAGTTAAATAATACTATTTGAATTAATGGTACATAAAAAATAAAATGCATACTGGGACAGAGACTGACTAGGTGGTGGGAGTAGGGAAATGGGAAGCACCTTTGATTATAGAAGGCAAGGAGGACTTCTCTGAGGAGGTGACATCTGATTAACCTCTGAATAAAGAGGAGTCAGTCATGTAAGGACCTGGGGGAAGGAACATTACAGACAGGTCTGGCGCGGTGGCTCACGCCTGTCATTTCAGCACTTTGGGAGGCCGAGGTGGGTGGATCACCTGAGGTCAGGAGTTCGAGACCAGCCTGACTAACATGGTGAAACCCCATCTCTATTAAAAATACAAAAATTAGCCGGGCGTAGTGGCGGGCGCCTGTAATCCCAGCTACTTGGGAGGCTGATACAGGAGAATCGCTTGAACCCGGGAGGCAGAGATTGCAGTGAGCCAAGAGCACGCCATTGCACTCCCACTTGGGCTACAGAGTGAGACTCCATCTCAAAAACAAAACAAAAAGAACATTGCAGACAGTGGGAACTTATACAGCAAATTGTCAAGCTCTGATTTCTCTTCTTCAAACTGTACCATCCGGCTGAAATTCTCTTCCTCTGCAAACCCAGCCCCAGGTCTCTGACAACACAGCATCTAACGGTCTTCCTTTAGCCCCAGTGCCTAGCATAAATGCTAGCACAGAGCAAGGGTTAATAAAGAGCAATGGTTATATACAACCTCTGTGAACTATACTTTGTCAAGTTCCAAACTGTCAATCATGGCCATCTATGACCTGACATACAAACAGAAGCTTCTAGAAATCACAGAAATGGTCCACTGGCACAAAGACGAGAGGTTTGTTAGAAAATATTTTGCTTAGCATTTAACTTTGGCCTTGCCAACTTAGCGACTTACCACGGCCAGTGTACTCAAAAGAATCTGCTTCATCGGGAGTATCAAGTTCATCCACATTGATGTCAATTTCATCTGGACTGTCCAAGTTATCATCAGAAAGAATAGATCCTTCACTTTGGTCCAGAGAAAGATTGATGTTTGGAGCTGTGAGCTTGATTCTCCGAGGATGAGTGCCATTAAGATCCAGAGAATTAGGAGGTTCTAAAGAAGAAAGAGAACAACAACATCAAGTAGTAAACCAGGGAAGCAATCTAAATCCAAAAATTCAAAATCCCAAATGCACCAAAATCTGAAACTTTTTGAGTGCCAGTATGATGCACCAAGGAAATACTCACCAGAATATTTTGGATTTCAGAATTTTGTATTTGGGATGTTCAACCAGTAAGTATAATCCAAATATTCCAAAATCTGAAAAAATCCCAAATCTGAAATACTCTGGTCCAAGCATTTAAGTCAGGAATACTTAACCTATATGTGGCTGCCAAGAGTGGGTTTGGCCCCCATGGAAAACATTTTTAAAGTCCTTTCAGCAAAAATAGACCTGATAGAAATCCTTGTATGAGATTTAGACATCCTTCTTGAAAGCAGCCCTCAGTAACTGGATCCTCCCAACCCCCTCAGCCTTGGCCATATAGAAACAGGAAGTAGGAACTATTGCTAAATGGGGAGATAACTAGTTTTTAAGAATTTCCCTGTTCAAGTCTAAAAACTTGACTATAATATTGAACTGAATTTTCATGCAATATATTGCTTTAGAAAAACAGTTAAGCTTACATATACAATTGTCCCTTGACATCCATAAGGGTTGATTCCAGGATGCCTGGTGGATACCAAAATCTACAGATGCTCAAGTCCCTGATATAAAATGGTGTAATGTTGACACATAACTAATGCACATCTTCCTGTCTACTTTAAATCACCTCTAGAATAATTGTAATACCTAACACAACGTAAATAGTTGTTGCACTGTATTGTTTAGAAAACAATGACCACGAAAAAAGTCTGTACACGTTCAGTACAGATGCAATTTTTTTTCTTCGACTATTTTTCTTCTGTGGTTGGTTGAATCCATGAATTTAGAACGATGGATACAGAGGGCCAACTATATTTTCTAATGATTCATGTTGACTTTGCTCCTATGGAATGCAGATTAAGAACTTTGTCATGTTCACAGACACTCCCAAAATACTTCCCTTAGGTCCTGACAACTCTGTATATGATCTTCAGTGCCCTTTACCTGGCTGAATTATCCTCCCAGGTAACATTCTTTGAACTCACCCAAGCAGTCATCAGCTCTTATGCCAATCTCACTTGACATTGGTTCCCAGAACATAAGTGATAATCTTACATGTAGGCTCCCTCCTTTCATTATAGTATGCATCTATGCTGCTTTTCATTTAATAGAAGCAGAGCTGGAGAAGTCATTTTGAACCAAGCATAAACCAACAAAACAAAGGTAGAGAGATAACTTACTGTAGTATAAGAAGAAATGTATTTGGCCTTTGGCCCCGGTTCCAGGCACAGAGGTCTTAAAACCCTTGTCATTTCCTAAGGCAAATAGTATCAGAACTGAATTACAGGACACCCAGTTGGTGTTCACTAGAGTATTGCTTGGTGTGTGGCACAAAAACAAAACAAAACAAAAAAAACCCCTACCCATCTGGTCACAGATGTGCTCAGTGTGAGAGTAGAGCAGGAGAAAACAGTTTGTTGCCTTCATCTAAAACCAGAAGTGACAGGTGTCCCAAGCATGACGTATTTTGGAGAGAGTCTGGTATACCCTTCAACTCTGGGCACTGTTCCCTTGTGATTAAGCTTTTTTTTTTTTTTTTCCTGAATGGAACATCACCCAAACTATTTTCCAGGTAATGGTTTTATGTATTACTTGAAAAAAGTTTCTATTGACCAGTAAGTTTCAACACTGAGTTTCTATAGTTCAAGAATTTGCAGAGCAATGATGCCCCAAATAATTCTGTGTGATGATGAAAATGTTCTGTATGTGGTGACTGAGCACTTGAAATGCGGCTAGTAAAACTGAAGATGGGCATTTTAAAAATTATTTTTCATTTTAATTAAATAGCCACGTGTGACTCGCTGCTTACTGTATCAGATAACCACAGCCTTAGTGTTCTTATCATTTAAAAGTGCACTGTGAACTTTGAAGACTGAAATAAACATACTGTGGTTACCAAGCATATCTGGCCATAGAACATTTAGAAATAATTCTGTTACATGACTAGTATTTTAAAGAATGCATTTCAAATACTTCGACAGAAAACAAACGCAATTGCCTTTCTTCTTCCTAGCACACTGCAGGCTTGGCTGAGAATACATGATTCGGGATCTTGGTATGATCCTGGAGTTGGTGTCATGCAAGAGAGTGACCCTGGAGCACAGCGAGAGGCATGCAAATTGCAACTGAAAAATTAAATTCCTTTTTGTGTATGCCTGGGGTTGTAAAACCCTAAAATATAGGGTGGTTGTTTTTTTGTTGTTGTCTTGGTTTCGGTTTATGACAGTCAGGATACTGAGCATTCTTGACATATCACATTTTCAATTTTAAACATTTGCACAATTACGTGTAATATGGGAAACTTAGACATTAGTCAGATTTTGGTACAATGTACAGTAGCCAATTATCACAGGAACTGAAAACATTGGCAGATAAGGCTGTGGCCTAGGAGATAAAATGCAGCCCACACCAGCGAGAATCAATATTCGAGCCAACTCTTAAACTAACCAAATGCAGCCTGACACCTTCCTCTCACACGTTTCTTTTTTCCTCTCACTTTTATCACTGAAATCACGAGTTAGATGCACAGGAAATAAGTCTTTCACTGGATAACGAAAACGTTGGAATATAGAATACCACCGAAGGAAACGAGCAACGGCTGCACTCACCGGGCCTCATGTCTGCAGCACTGGGACTTAGCACTCCCTCTTCAAAGGGGATGTCCATTCCTACATCCTCTGACAGCAGTCTGCAAAAGAAAAAAAAAAAACAGCGAAGGAAACAGAGTCAACAATTGTGAAGGACTTAATTTCTTTTGAAAAGGAAACCCAGAGAGTCCAAGATAACATTTTCAACTTACTTAAAATATACCACGTATGGGGACTGAATCCACTGTGTGGTCCTAAATTAAAAGACTTTCTGCAGTTATGGTGAATGAGAATGAGGGACACCATACATCAAGTCACTGCTACGAGCTCGCTTAAGTAAACAGACACCAAGCAGGAAACTCAGAAATAGGAAATGCAAACAACTAATAAAATATACTTCAAGGACATTATATATATACATATACATATATATATATATGTATATTTTAACAGGGTCAATATATGTGCTTTGTATACATTCCTTGCTCTGTAAATTTGAGCATTAAATTGCACTGAACAGAGGGACAGCATACTCTGTTGATTTCAGTTTTAATTTGTAAACTAGGGATTTACCACCTACTTTACCACGTTGTTTAAAGATTAAACTACAAAAGGAAAGTGCCTAACACTCCTGGACAGGCGTAGACTAACATTGTCTTCCTTTTTCGAATATTTAAAGAGTCATTGTGATTATATGTTGGTGAAGATGGCTCTGGTCATGTCTTTCCACTTCTTGTTTCTAATCAGTGCTGAGGCCACGACCATTTGTATTAGCTCATTTGGTAAGAAAAGTGTAGGAAGATAGAAAATACTGAAGAAAATTGTGACGGATCTATATGCTCTTCTAGGAAGCTGACCACTGTTCATGATAAATTTTTCTTGACTTATTCTTATCCCTGGGCCTTTGGTCAGTAAGTGCCCATTTACCATGGTAATATATTTTTCTTGTTGGTGAATTTGAGGTAATTTCATTCACCTAGGGTGAATCTTTATGATACTGGCAATAACCTCATTTTAAACACGATAAAACTTGTTAAAGTTCTTTATTTAGTCCGCTTCTCCCTCTCTAACTATGCTTTGCTCTTTGTAATGCTGGATCTACCAAATCTTTGGAGATTAATCTACTTCTCCAGGATGCAAGTCAAATCCCATACTGTTACTAAAGCACTACAGTGAAAGAAAAGAATCTGCACCCTTAGTGATTACTGCATTTGCTTCATTTATTCAATAAATATCTACTGAGTGTCTACTATGTGCTGAGGATATAGAGGAACAAAACAAATTCTCATGGTGGAGTTGGGATGATGAAGTTGATACAATGACCTCTACCTCCAAGAACTCAGTCCTGCTCCCCTAGATAGAGCCAAATACCTGTGTACTTACCCACCAACTCCTGAGACCCCTTTCAAAAGCTCAGCCTCAGGGAGTTTCTTTGTCCACATTCTTTTTGTGGCTTTGACCCTGTGTATTTCTAAAACTAGACCTGTGTCCTGGTAGCAAAAGAGCATGCAAGAGGTTGGCATGTAAGACAGACAATAATGTATCAGCAGGAACAAGATAACCTGTGCCGAACAGGTTACACTGTGTAACACTACGATAGGTGGAAGCAAACCACGTTATTCAGCAACAAATGTAGAGGCGGCGTGCAAAGAGAAGGTCTGCACTAGGCCCCAGTTTTGAGAGTCCTGGGACCTAGAAAGACAAATATCTGGGTTTCCCAAGATCCTGCAGTTTTTTGGAATTCCTTACAGTGATCTTTCTCATTTTGTGTGCTCTCCTTGACATCAAACCTCTCATACCTGCCAAGTAGCAAAATGCTGCTATTAAGAGCAGCTGGATTGAAATCTTAGTGCTACCACTTACTGTGTTGGATTCAATTAGTAGGCCTGAAATACTCCAGATGCACATGTACATTGTTTTTCTAGTTCTCTGCCTAAGAGTCATCCTTAAACAAAAAATAAAGACATCAGATTTTTATCTGCCTGACAGAGCACACAGAATGTGGGCCTTAGCCTCAAAATAAATATGATGGTTTTAAAATAAGATCAGTGTAAGTTTTATAGATTAAAAAAAAATTTGTGGGCCGGGCGCGGTGGCTCAAGCCTGTAATCCCAGCACTTTGGGAGGCTGAGGTGGTTGGATCACGAGGTCAAGAGATCGAGACCATCCTGGTCAACATGGTGAAACCTGTCTCTACCAAAAATACAAAAAATTAGCTGGACATGGTGGCACGTGCCTGTAATCCCAGCTACTCAGGAGGCTGAGGCAGGAGAATTGCCTGAACCCAGGAGGCGGAGGTTGCGGTGAGCCGAGATTGCGCCATTGCACTCCAGCCTGGGTAACAAGAGCGAAACTCCATCTCAAAAAAAAAAAAAAAAAAAAATTTGTGAATTATGGGCAACATCATGGAATCATTGCAGGAGTCCTGCCTGGGTATGAGGTTTTAGTTCTGAGTTATAGTGCTACTGCCAGTATTGATAAGCTGATTAACTCTGAGATTAGTTGACCATTTCTGTGATTTTAAAAGGCGATAATATCTAATATCACAGTGACTGTGGAGAATAAATATAATACAAATAAAAGTACTCTTTAAGTCATAAAGCACTGTCTGAGTTTAAAGTATCATACACCCTCCACTTAAAATATAGTACCAGGAGCAGTGGCTGAATTGAAGTATGTGTCATGATTGGACAAATTTTAATTAAGGTCACTATAATTTGGGCATTAGCCCAGATAAAAGAGAATCTTATTACTGCACAAATCTCCATAGAACCTAGTAATGCTCCTCAACTCATTGATGTGAGAAAATAGAGCCTTTGCCCGTCAGTGCTCCTTTTCAACACAAAGCAGAGAGCTTGTGAAGAAGGTGCAGGAAAGCCCGTGTTAGCATGCACTAGGGGAAGAAGCCTGTGATTAGCGGATGACCCAAGGAGAGGGATTCACACAAACCCATGGATATTAAAGAAGGCCACAGGGACATGTTAGAAAACCCCTGGGACAGAGGGAAACTGAGCCGGAACAGCCTAGAAGCAAATCTAAGAGAAACTCAAGTCACACTCTCTGTAAATACTTCAACCACGTTCATACACTAAGCCCATAAACGTTTGCAAAAATGAAGTGGCCAAACCAAGCAGCTGGTGATGAAGCAGGATAGCAGTTTTATGATCAATCACTGAAGCCTCTCAGGATCGGGTAGGTAACAAATCAGTCCAGTGTAAGGGTCTATATTTTACTTATCCATCTGTAGACTCTACTTAATTTTGAATTTCTTTATACAGAATGGAGTTAACCAAGAGGCTAAGGGAGTTGTAAACACAAGTCTGGCTGTACTATGGCTGAACCAGCTACATGCCCCCATCTAGAGGATGTATTAAAACTGCTTCACCGTTTCTTTGCTGGATGGTTACTATGGCATCAACACCATGTGAGTTAGAAGATCAATGTGTTATGACATATTGATCCTCACTAAATATTTCTGGCTCTCAGCCTTTGGAATGCATGGTAGGATTGCACTTTCCTGTCCCCTAAGAAAATTAGGGTGCCCACATGACTTGCTCTGGCTGATGAAGAAAGGGTGGAAGGGAGAGACGTTGCTTCTGAGCATAAGCCTTAGGAGCTAGCGTGTGAGGAGCCACATTCTCTTCATCTTCCCAGCTTGGTGGCTGTGGAGGGGCTCTACCAGGCTGTGTCCTGAGTGCCTCTGATGAGCAGAGGCCTCGTCCAAAGCTTGCTGGAAATGTAAACAAGAAATGAACTTTTGTTGTGTTTGTTGTATTTTGCCCTGAGATATTGCAGCTATTTGTTACATTACAGTCTAGCCCATTCTTACTATCTTAAAATCTTCCTGATTTATGTAACCCATTTTCTACATTCATAGCCCAGATTCACACTGACAGTAAACATCTTCATGTCTGAATTGCTAAAGCATCGAAGAATGTTTTAATAAATAGGGACAAAAAGCAGGAAAAGACATTGAATGCTTCTAAGGATTTTATATGATTAAGTATTAATATATCACCTTTATGGTTTTTGTCATAGCCTTTACCACTTGCCAATTTACTTAACATTTTTCTTTAGATTGACTTAGTTGATGAAGGTTATTTTGAGAGGAATGTTTGTATCACTGCGGCACAGGCTGAGTATTCCTTATCCAAAATGCTTGGGATCAGAAGTGTTTAAACTTTCTCTTTTGGATTTTGGAACATTTGGATTGTGTACTACCACTTGAGCATCCCTACTCTGAAGATCTGAAGTCTGAAATGCTCCAGCGAGCATTTTCTCTGAGTGTCAGCTCAGCACTAAAGAACTTGAATTTTGGAGCATTTTAGATTTTGGATTAGGGATGTGCAACTTTAATATGAAAATGTAGGGGGAAGGGGGGAAAAAGAAAACGTAAATCATTCACATAAAATAAACGGTGAATAGATTTAAGTTATATAAGATAAATACCATATATATATATATAAATATATATATATATATATATATATATAATAAAAATAAAATAATACTATTAAATTTAAGTTAGGGACTCCTGGAATCTCACTCCAAGATTTTTTCCTCTTTGTGAAAAAAGAGATGTTAGGAAGTGTTGGCTATGTCTGACAAGCTGTAATGCCATGTATTGTTGAAAACGGAAGAAATGTTCTATGAAATAGAATACCGCAGAAGTAACTAATATATTTCCAAGCTTAAAAAAAAAACAAAGTAAGTCTCCAGGTGACAGAAATCGTTGTTATAGAAGGCTGATAAAAACCTAGCACACAGGGTTTTTGGACTGGACACAGGACTTAGGGTCTCATGGCATAAGGGACCCCCAGTTGATGGAAGAAAGGTCTAGAGCTGAACTTCTACATAGGGCTCTGGACCTTCAGGAACTTTCTTCTTAATGAAAAGGGATGGAAAAAACTCTCTCCTCTGGCCTTGGAAAGCACAGTCTACTTGGAATCTTGGGTAGAAAATAAAAAGTAGCCAGTAGGAACTGGAGACATTAGCTGTGGGCTGCTCATGTCTCAGTTTATATTATCTGAACGATATAGAAATGAATCAAGAAATTAAGGTGAAAATTCATCTAGGATCACTGAACAGTAGGGTTCCAAAA